ATAAGGTAATCGTATACCTGGACCTATATGTAAATAGGAATAATAAGGTAATCGTATACCTGGACCTATATGTAAATAGGAATAATAAGGTAATCGTATACCTGGACCTATATGTAAATAGGAATAATAAGGTAATCGTATACCTGGACCTATATGTAAATAGGAATAATAAGGTAATCGTAAACCTGAACCTATATGTAAATAGGAATAATAAGGTAACCGTATACCTGGACCTATATGTAAATAGGAATAATAATGTAATCTTATACCTGGACCTCTATGTAAATATTTTTTATCTGGTAATTTAGAGTTTCTGTGTTAAGAGCAACACAAAGACAGTGTTAACACAATAATGATGATCCTAACGATAGAGAAGTATTGATTATGATAATGGTAGACAGAACGAGAAACTCTTGCAACAACAACAGCAGCAGAAGAAAAAGGCCAAACGTGAGGTTTCCTCTAACTACATCCGTAGTTAACTATTCCAGAAACTATTAGAAATTAGTTAGGCCTCATTAATTAGGCTTAGTGTGACACGCCAGTTTATTATTCAGTGACTTCCGAATTATTCATCCGGCAACACGGGATTCAGTCTGTTTGGCGGACAGACTTGCTGGCTTCTAGCCACTACGGGGAAAACAGCCAATAGTTGGCCTTCCTTTGTTTAATATGGCTTCGCCCGGGTTCTGCCAGGTTGAATGTTTACCCAACCAATATTGCTTTAATACTGGTTTATTTTTGTTACTTATTAATGTATATATGTATATGAGTATTGAAGCGTATATGTATTTATGTATGGTGGTAAGTGTGCAGTTTATTCCCTCTCGCTGATTGGTTCACTATTACTATACGTGACCTTAATCATCCAATCAGCGTGCAGTGTTTCTTTATCTCAGATGCTGCATTTAGAAATAGAGTTATATATTTAACTAGACGGGTGACCCGGGCTTCGACCCGGGATTGACCCGTGTGCATATCTACCCGAGTGATATATATTTAGATAAGATTTTTTCTATAATTGTTTGTTATTAGCATTATCTATTTGTTTGCATCAGCATAATTCAATCTATTCTATGATAGAGGGCGCTGTTCGTGAGCTAAGTAGAATAATTTGAATATATAGTTTTAATAATTGATTTATATATTTTTTAAAATAGCCTATCGTCTTCCCCGTATTTTTTTACCTATGTATGGAAATTTTGGTTTGAATTAGTGAACTACTGCGAATTTGTATACCGGACATACAAACAAACAAACATACAAACATTGATTTTTATATATAGAGAGATATAGAGTCATATAGGTTTCATTTTTGAAAGTTATTCTTTTTTTTATTTTAGAATTGAAATTTGCATTATCATTTTTTTTGGTGTCACTCCACTATTTTAAATGTTACTTAAAAAAAAACTATAAATATACTTCGTATAATATTCAGTCAATATTTAGGGATAATATTTAAAGGGATTCAGACACGGAAAGATATTTCAGTAACCTTTATTGAAGACACACGAGATAACTACACTCATGAACAAAACTTAAGGAAGTTGTACCTTTTAACATGTATATCGGGATTCAGACAATAACTCTCAAATATATTGCAGTAACCTTTATTGAAGACACACGAGATAACTACACTCATGAACAAAACTTAAGGAAGTTGTACCTTTCAGCATGTATATCGGGATTCAGACAATAACTCTGAAATATATTACAGTAACCTTTATTGAAGACACACGAGATAACTAAGTGTGAACAGCCTCTGTCTCCTTAAAAAAGAGATGACTGGCGGCATCAAAGACTTTCCACTTCCTTAAGTTTTGTTCTCTCTCTCTCTTCTCTCATGAGTGTACCCTAGACATAAAGGCTGTCCTACTAAGCCCAGCTAAATGTAGAGTACTCCCCAAGTCCTGTTAACTGCCTCAGTGTGGCGGGGAGGTGACCCTGGGCAGGACAGTATGTCTGTATATACTCCTGGTACCCTAGACATGAAGGATGTCCTACTAAGCCCAGCTAAATGTAGAGTACTCCCCAAGTCCAGTTAACTGCCTCAGTGTGGCGGGGAGGTTACCCTGGGCAGGACAGTATGTCTGTATATACTCCTGGTACCCTAGACATGAAGGATGTCCTACTAAGCCCAGCTAAATGTTAGCAGACAATTTTCTACCTTTGTGTACCTCAGATACTCCTATCAACAACACCCAATTACTCCGTATGAATTATGTTGTTCTCACCCTAGAGAAGTGTTGAATTCTAAACATGGTCTAAGTATGATATGGTACAATTATAGATTATAAACATAAGGTAATAAGACCAAATCTAAATAAATAGTGTGTGATGTTTCGGTAACAGCGTTGTTACCATCATCAGACCAAAGTACTGAAGGCACCTTTCTGCTTTCCTTTGGTACAGAAAACTTTTGTCTGATGATGGTAATGGAGTAGAACAACCTCCATGTGAGGACACCTCTCTACAAAGGATAGTTTTCATCACCAAAATTATCATTATTTCTATTTAGAAACTCTCCAGTAAGAAGACACCTCTCTCTAAAGGACACTTTGGCTCTGTAACTAGGTGTTGTTCTTTATAGAGAGATAGTTCTACTGTAGCAACTCTCCAGTAAGAGGACACCTCTCCTTAAAGGACATTTTAGCTCTGTAACTAGGTGTTGTCCTTTACAGAGAGGTAGTTCTACTGTAGCAACTCTCCAGTAAGAGGACACCTCTCTCTTAAGGACACTTTAGCTCTGTAACTAGGTGTTGTCCTTTACAGAGAGGTAGTTCTACTGTAGCAACTCTCCAGTAAGAGGACACCTCTCTCTTAAGGACACTTTAGCTCTGTAACTAGGTGTTGTCCTTTACAGAGAGGTAGTTCTGTAGCAACTCTCCAGTAAGAGGACACCTCTCTCTTAAGGACACTTTAGCTCTGTAACTAGGTGTTGTCCTTTACAGAGAGGTAGTTCTACTGTAGCAACTCTCCAGTAAGAGGACACCTCTCTCTTAAGGACACTTTAGCTCTGTAACTAGGTGTTGTCCTTTACAGAGAGGTAGTTCTACGGTAGCAACTCTCCAGTGAGAGGACATCTCTCTCTTAAGGACACTTTAGCTCTGTAACTAGGTGTTGTCCTTTACAGAGAGGTAGTTCTACTGTAGCAACTCTCCAGTAAGAGGACACCTCTCTCTTAAGGACACTTTGGCTCTGTAACTAGGTGTTGTCCTTTACAGAGAGGTAGTTCTACTGTAGCAACTCTCCAGTAAGAGGACACCTCTAACTAAAGGACACTTTGGCTCTGTAACTAGGTGTTCTCCTTTACAGAGAGTTTTTTCTACTGTATATGTAAAATAGGAATATATTATATGCAATTAGGAATCTGAGATTATAAATATGTCTCTATATATGTGTGTAATTATACTCATGATAATTTTTTATTATAGATATACAACATAATAAAAGGGAGAGGTGCCCCTATCTAGGTACATGTGAATATCATCCCCCGTAACTACTGTGATGCTATTACTTAAACATCACACATATTATCTACTAGCCGAATGACCCGGGCAACGCCCGTGTTTTACCCGATTGAATGTTTTTATTCAAATACTATTTGTTACAATTATAAATTGGCGCCTCAAATAAATGCATATATTAGTTAATAACTATAGCCTATGTGCTTTATCTGTCTATGTACTGTTGGCTTCCGTAGGCGTCTCATACTGGGAAAAAGAAAGAGAATATTCCATTTAGTTATTAACTAATATATGCATTCATTTAAGGAGCGACCCGCTCCAACACAATAGTTACAAAAACGAAAAAGCGAGTGGGGGAGCAAAGGTGGCGTGATCGTAGCCAACCAATAGGAGGGCGCCATTCCAAAAAAAAAAAAAAAAAAGCAAACGGTGACAGAGTTGATTGATTAGGAGATGAGGAATGACGCTCGTAACTGTATATAGAATTTGGATTTGGTCTTGTCATCTTGTGTTTATAAGCAGACAAGCACTTCCACGTGCTGACCTCGGCTCGAGCAAATGTACCAATTTTATTGGGAAAAACACGTCAAAAATATAAATAGGTTTTTAATGAGGGTCATATACCTTTTTTTTTTACACATTACGAGAGGTGAGGGATTTCCTTATTGGAACACGATATTTCCTTTAAGTGATCTTTTTATGTGTCTTAGTGGTATAGGAGCCGATAGTAGAACATACAAGTGAAAATGGCGTCTTGAGAAAAATGGTCAAAATGTTTATAATTAATAATGAATAAAATATTTGATTTTAATTCTTATTCGATTGGCGGTTTAATGTAAAATATATTCTCCTGTAGAAGATATTTTTTGCCCGAAAGCTTTAGAGATTTGCAAATAAAATATTTTAAAAAGAAACTTTTCCCTGGAGATCTCTAATGTTTGTATTTTAATATTATTAATGTTTCAATTTAACCAACTCTTTGCAAACATTTTATACCCTTTTTGTATTTTCGATATAATTTTAGTTCATCATTTCTTTTATATACACCCATACCTCGCTTTGCGTCGGGGTTACGTTTCAAAAAAACACGACGCAAATTGAAACGACGCAAAGTGAAACTATGTGAAGGCGCAATCAAAAACAAAGGTGTTGCCATATTTTAGGGAAAAAAAATTTAAAAAAAATTAAAGACTCGAATCCAAAACAACGTAACTTCGAAAATCTAACGACGCACAGTGAAAATCAGTAAAAATTAAGCAGCGACGCAACTTCGAAAAAAACGCAAAATGAAACGACGCAAAGCGAGGTATTGGTGTACAATGTTATTTTTTAAATATTTTTTTACACATAGTACAAATAAATTGTAAGCAAAAAATATTGTTAATATCTATGATATTCATGCCCTTATTTCAATAAATTTATTTTGTCTGTAATATATATATTTTTTCAATTTTATTCTCATTCCCTATTGAATATATGCAAAAATATATTTTTACCTTAATTCTATTGACGTTATGTGGCGCTGAGTTTGTTGTTAACAGACATTAGGCCTAGTGGATATGGCATCTGCCCGGTAAGCGGAACATTGTGGGTTCGATTCCCATCCCTGGACACTTTTATTTTTCCGTTTATCATTACTCTTCATAATTCACCCTTTCATACCTCATCCAAAATGGTTAGAAATAGTCAATATTTCACCTTGAAATAAATTTTGATTTTTCGTTGAAAAGAAACTCATGTGGTGTAACTTCAAGTGTTGTTTTACACATTAAATATGTTATAATACCTTGATAAAGGTTGGTGTTCAGCCAACTGAAATATTGGTAAAATAAATGATACTTTGATCCAATATATGTCTTTTTGCATCAATTGATTTAAATATTCTTGATTTTAATTAAACAATTAAAAAAGGTTTCGATGAGATGAGTTTCTTTTTTATTTCAAATACCATCTCAAGGTTTCAGGAATGTCTGTCCATCTACAGAACATATATAATGAATAAAATATTAAGTCGGTGGATGAGAGGGTAACACGCTCGATTCCCGACAGTCATGAACCGGGATTAAATCCCGCGTTAAAATTTGTTTAATATGTGAATAACCTTCACATATTATTCATTGTTCAATTATCATGAACTAGGTTGCTCTTGCTGAGCGGTACCTATTTATGTGAATTTGAACCAGGAATGAATAAAACTCCGCCTGATGTCAAACATATATTGATAAAGAGGGAGAGAAATTCCTCGAAATAATTTGAGAAAATTTGTTTGTTTTCTTTCACAGATCCAGGTTAGTGTTGGAATATTACACAGAGTAACAATGGCTATAGATGAGACTGAGTTTGAAAAGGAACTTGTATGTATATAATGTTTTATTGTTTTTGTTGTTTTGCACTTACAGCAATTAACGCCACATACCCTATATTAATAAAATCAAAAGCAAAGTCAATAAATTTATCAACCAAACTCTTTGATACAATAGTGAGAGCTGTCCTGATGTATGCCGCTCCATTGTGGGCAACAGAGCATAAAGACTTATTGGATAGTATACAAGACATATTTATCCGTAGGTTTCTGAATCTGCCCAGATACACTCCAGGCTACATAATCAGATTAGAAACCGGTCGTATCTCATTGAGTGTAACAGCTTTAAAATTAACCCTGAAGTATTGGCTGCGGGTGTTGAATATGAGCAGTGACAGATTGCCGCGTATATGTTTTAATAGAACACGGGAACTGTCTAATGCTTCGGGCACACCCATCGGTTTCATTAAAAAGCTCACCAATCTGCTTAACAACAATGGATCCCCTGCACTTGTTTCCTGTGATGATCCTGAAACGCTGAGGAGCGCGATTACAGGGCTCTTAAAAACAGCGGCAGACCAATCTATACAAAACGACCTTACAAGAATGGATAAATCTAAGCTATACTCTCACTACAAAGACATTCACATATCCTTCATGACGGAGGGATACCTTTTAGGGGATTTTCCTTTCCCGGTTGTAAGACTACTCGCACAAGTTAGAATACTTTCAAGTTTTTTTAGAGAAAACCACACCAAGATGCTCTGCGGTGAGGACCCGATTTGTACCTTCTATAATTCAAAACTAAAAAATGAAATCACTCACTATATTTTTGATTGCTATGCTCTGAAAGAAGAAAGAAGAACCCTTATGCTCAAAACTGGGCAACTCTGTGATTCACTTCCATCAATAATTGACAATATGACCCAGAATAAGTATATTGCTACGGCGTTTTATGGTTTCCACAAGTCCATATCTCAGAAGAAGGCCAAGTGACACTCACTCCTCACTTTCTTACTGCTACTCTTTTTGTGTTGTTTTTCATGCTTCCCTCTTTCTCTTTCTTGTTTTTTTTCTTTTTCTTCTGTATTTATCCTTATTTCCTTTGTCTCACTGCTTTGTTCTTATGCATACCTCTGGTGAATCCTGTATAGGGTCAGTGACCCTGAATAAAGGCTTTTTGTTGTTTGTTGTTGTTTTTGTTGTTTTCATGTAGACATATATACCAAGATTTGTTTTGTATAATTAATAATAAATAATATGTAACGTTAAATTGGTTACGGATTCTTCCTTCTTACTTACTTTAATTAAATAATAGTTAGGACCTTTTTAATATAAACTGATAAAATGATCAAAAACAAAACCGCTTTCGAATTTCAAAGTTTTATTTGAGGAGTGATATTCAAAAAAGGATGATAGCTTTTTTTTATCATGAGAATTGTTGATGAAACATAGTGTCAACCACTTTTTATTCAATTAAAAAAAAAGGTTTCAATAGAATGGTCACATCCCTTCCCCGCATTTAAGACCAAAATATCTGTTAATTTCAGATTACCTAGCTTAGTTAAGCAAATAGCCTTGGTTGACACACACTTCAGATACAAATAAACGAAGAAAGAAAGACAATAAATGTCCGAAATATTTTGTTCTATTAAATAGATAAACAAATTTCTAAAACGTTTTTAATCCTTTACGTCATCTAGAATACATATAGCCATTTTGATTCTCTGACAAATGAAAAAATAATAATAAGTAATTTCTATACATTACTAAATATCCCATTGCTATATATAACCAAACAATATATATAATACTAGAATTTTTTATAATAATAGTAAATTAACAATTATGATATTTTCGGATTTAAGACAGAGAATTTGTTGTTTTTTATTCTTAAATAGGGGATCGATTGTATTATATATATGTTATATTAAGATATTATTTAAAATGTTATATTAAAATATTTTATTTAGAATTATGTTAAAGTGTTATTTTATTTTAAAAAAAATTATAATTTCATAGATATAAATACTCTGTTTAAATCGACCGCCAGAGGTCACACTTTGAATATAAAACTCGTTGTTGTTCTTCCCGTTGGCCGACCCAAAACTTTTGTACATTATGTAAATATTCTTTTGTTTCCTTATTCTACTCGCCTTAAGACAGGCATTACTTTTATCCAATTATGTTTTTATATTTCTTAGCTCAATTAAAGCAATTTCTAAGCTTTACTATTTTTATTATTTTACTTATCAATATTTTAACCACGACTGCACCGCCATATCATAATCATCAAGATGATCCAAAACAACAGAAATCTTATCCTTTTTTAATTTAAAAATGTAATATATATATATATATATATATATATATGTGTGCCGTATTTTTCAGAGATGTTGCGGAGAAAACCCACAAAAGGAGGACACAGTATATTTGCATTTAAAAAGGATTCGTTGACATAGGTAATTACACAACAATTATAGCATGAGGTAACCTTTTAAAAAACATAAACGGTTATATTAGCACCAATCAACCACACAAACGATTACCAAAGATTAAATTAAACCCAAACCACAGAGAGAAAGATAGAAAAAAAACCCACCAAGCCACCCAAGAACAAGTCGAATGAAAGAAACCCCAAAAATCCACAGCAAAGAAAGAACAACAAGATTTCCCCGCGGAAAAATTTAAAGCAGACGAACAACAGCAGACGAAAAAAACGAAATGGTAGCAGACGAAAAGTGTAAAAAGTGCGAGCTAAACAAAGAAGTCGGCGAGCAAACTCAGGGAAGGGGTCAATTTGAAGATTCCCACTGCGACAATTAGCGCTGCACCTTACAGCAGAGTCCGAACGCAGGAAGCGTTTTTTTACTCTCGTGAAGGATTTTTTACCAGTTCGCGCCGCGCTATAAAGTGGCAGATTAAGCTGGCTAAATAGTGGGAGGGGGCTAAAAAACTGCCGGCGTCTTCCCACCACTCGGGTAATGGTTCAGGTAATGGTGTGACTGCCACTTCATTTTTCCTTATTGACTTACTGGTCGTTAGGTCAAAAAGTTAAAATTAAATTACTCTGTGAGGGAATAAATCCTGCTCCAGTTTGTTCGGTAGTTTTCCTTGTGGCGCCCCCATTTGGAGCCGCCCTATTGTACACGACTTAGATGCATATCTCCCGCGAATACGAGAACTTATTTTTTTTATCGATGAATCGCTTTTTTCAACCACCTGGCTTCTCCCTGAGTGAATGTTTGACAAAAGAATATTGATTTAACAATTGATATTAATATACACAAACCGCAGCATGACATATAAACCTCTCTTCTAAGGATCTCGTATCAAAATAAATTTCCCAAATTCTGATTTTGAAGAAATTCGGAGATATTGGTTCACATTGTTGGATGAAGACTAATAGTTAATATCATTAGTGTTCTAGCTCATCAGTAATCTTGAATGTTGAAAATACGATAGTTTTATACAGCAACATACAGGACAAACATTATTTCTGGAGAACTGGGCATCTATAGATGATCAAAAACAGTATTAATAGGAAAAAATAGACATACCGCAATCATACCTACAGTTGAAACAAAACTAGTTCTTCAAATTAAAGATACTTCGGCCAGTAAATCATTTTTATTGTTTCGACGTTTTGACAAAAATCTTTTGTCCTCGTCAGAAGCGAACAAAAATTAAAACATTTTAACGCTTTAACAAATTATGAAAAAGACATCTCCTTATCGTGCAACTTCAAAATTTATGCACCTTATCCCAGTACAATATCACATTTGTACTATTTTTTTGCTTTAACAAATGTTTAAATTTTGTTCGCTCCCATGACGAGGACAAAAGATTTTTGTCGAAACGTCGAGACAATAAAAAAGATTTACTGGTCGAAGTATCTTTAATTTGAAGAACTATGAATGCCGCCGGACAGGCAGCCTTTATATTTACGAAAACAAAACTAGTTAAATATAATAGCATTTTATCTCTGATTATATCATTTATTCATTCAAAATTGTTCGGTCACATCACGCGGTTGATTGGCTTATAAGGAGTTTGAATTCCTAGAGGAAGATAGGCGAGCAGTCTTGTCGAAATATCGGAAATATGTTTTAATAAAAGGCAGTAGGTGTAAAGAGGGAGAAAAGAGAACTTGGAAGCTATTGTTCTTACACCTCAGAATGATGACGAAACATCGAGGGGTCGACCTTTCATATTAAATCTTACTTTTCCTTATTACTAATAATTGTATATAGTTGCGGAACTACTGGTTTCCTGTGCTGCTCTTTTTCTGATATTGCACCTTGTACGGAG